TAATGGTGTACAATAACACAAAACATGCAGAAATTGGCATGTCCCCTGCTGAGTACCTGTTAACAAACACTCATAGAGTGCTTGATGAACCAGTAATATCAGTGCCTAAGCTTGCAGTGTGAAAGGCAAGAAATGATAAATTTTCCCCATTTTCTGTGGGTGATCTTGTGAAGAAAAAATCCCCTTGTTGGGGAACTGCTCAACTAACAAGTTCCAGCCTCGATATGAGGGGCCTTTTCGGGTAGATGAAGTGAATCCCAATAAGGTCACTTTCAGAACTCGTCACTTAAAAAGTGGCCAGACCAGCCGTACACATTACAATCAGTTGTTGCGCTGGAAAGAGTCGCCACCTTATCTGTGTTCAGGTTGGGATGATAGCTCAGATGAAGAGGGCCAGTCTATTCCGCCCCAGGCTATGTCTGAATCTCTCCTGTCAAATTCCTTGTTCACCTCTGGTGTATCAAGTGATAGTTTTTCTGGATTCTCTAGTAGGACGTCCCAGGAAATAATGAACACTCTGCCCAGAATGGTTTCTCTCAAAAGTCGGGATGGAGCGCCAGTGCCAACGATACCATTAACAGTACATAACGGCCCACTATTTCATAGGGAGATAAGTTCTTGGACAGATAGCATGGAGCAACTTGAAGAATGTACAAAGGCAGAGTAGGAATTTTCACTTAAAGATCTTTCTGCGTCTGGAGTGGTGTGCCTCGAATCAATGAATCCTGGGATGTCTCGCCGCTGGAGGAGGTATCAAAGAAAGGGACCATTGCAAGTCAGATGAGTGGAACGATGGAAAAGATCAAACCAATGTTTTATAGGGTTGGAAGATTTGTGCAGCAGCAAGCCATCAAGCTCTTAATTAAACGAGGTAGTTGACAGCCTGGAAAAGGATCTTGTTGCACAGAGGGAATCAACTATGTTCTCTGGGTTTTCTGGAGAGAAAAGCACCTCTGGCAATAGTGGTGACATTTCAGTGATCCACGCTTGTGATCCAGAGGCTAGTCCTGCAAACCCCCCTCTCCTGAGATGCAATATCATGTGAAATCAAAGTACGATATTAAAGCAAAAGTATTTATCAATTTCAGTGTTGACATCATAGTAGACTGCTCACTATTTGATATGCATCACTAAGTTAATCATGTTAAATTTAATGTAACTGATATTTTTATGGATTTAGTGCACTCCTTACGTTTATCATGTTAATCTTTTTTTGCTTTTCAGACTGGGTAAAGCAGGCAAACTCGAAAATACCATTATTTGAGGTTATAGACCCCGGGGCCTCGGTTTGGGGCTTGTACTTTTTCTTCTCTGTTCAATGGTTCAATGTACATACCTAATTCTTTTTGTTGTGTTAATAAATTGTTAAATAAAAACAAGGAAAAGTCCAATAAATAAGTGATTTATGATGGTTGTAAGGGAGGTGGAGACCATCACCAATTCCTTGTTTTCTTGACACCCTTGCAACGAACACCCTCAGGCCCACAACATTGCTGGTAGCACGATAAATAGAGCCCTACTACAATGGGACATTAAGAGGTGTGCTGAGCCGGGGGACTTTGAGACAGCTTGCACATATAGTTTATATGTGCTAAAATGTTAGCACAAGTTATATAAAAGACAAATTTGATAAATTTCCTCAGATATTATCATCTGAAATAAAAAATAAGTAAAAACCCACGTACTTGATCCCTCCATAGGTATAAACCCATTGAGTTAATTCTATACCAAAATTTTTAGTCTTAGTTATTAATATCTTTCTTTAGACCCCTTACGCCCTGGCGTGACGAATTCGTCACACCAGGGACTAGCTACCTTTTCCAACAATTTCACGTTTTCTGTCAGTTTTTTTGAAAAATTCACAGGAATAAAAAAATTCTTAGATTTATTTTTTACATATGTGTACCAAGTTTCAAAGTTATCTGTCAGTAAATTAGCAATTACTTTACAGATGAGTTATATGAGGCACAACAACAATGCTAGAATAGACCAACTTTGTAGTGTACTCGCGATTAACGAAACTACAATTACGATTGCCATTACATGGATGACTGAATCATTTTAGTCGCTTGCGAATTTTATACAAGAGCCCATTCTGCAAAATTTCTCGACTTCGTGCAATCAGCAACACAGTTTCTGCCCATCCAGGCTCTCATAGGTAGCTTTGTGTGTCTTTGAAAACATAATAAAAGCAACGACAAAATAAAGTTTCAAACGCTAGTCATGACGCGTATGTGGCCCGCGAACATCGCATTGAAGGCTATGGCGGCGCTGTCGACGCTCATACTGCAGCCCACCGTCTTCCCGACCACGAACGTCGGGGACGACGCCGTCTTTGACTTCATCGTCGGTGAGATCACGAATTTTTAATACCTTACAGGAGCAGAAATTGCTTATATAGATGGTCTACTTGAACCAGAGTTAGCTGATCATGCCAGGAATTGTTTCTTTTTTTCAGTATTTAGACTAAATATCGATGATTGTGGTGTCAGCGTTGATTATACGATGTTGCCCTCTAGCCGGTAGCCAGGTTCAACCGGCGAACTTGCCAATTTGATCAAAGTTTTCACAGCTAATCCGAGTTTTGAACCTCTAACTCACTATTTCAACAAAATTGATCTTAAACTCTCGGCCACTCAGAGGCGAGTGGTATTTCTTAGTAAGAATGTTGGGCAAGAATAGATAATGGTTTCTGTTCATTATAGTTGAATGTTGAATGACGACAAAATATCAGTTGTATTATAAATCATTTGTTGAGGTATACATATTTTAAATTCTTCTTATTTGAATATTGTGATCTGAGCGTCATTTTTCTTAAAACTCGGTCTGACAACACGTTGTTAAGAACAAAGGTATCACGGTTTGGAAACATGTTGTTTTCTGTTTTATAGATAGGCAAGTCAATTAAAGAAGTAATGGTCAGTTGGGTTCACAGCTAACCGAAAAGTTAGCTTCGTTAATCGTTAATTCGCTAACTGAAAAGTTAGCTTTCATGACGCTAAACCGATAAATCGTCGAAAATTTTAGCTGAATTTACCGCTAATCGCTAACTTTTAGTATATCAATTTAGCTTTGGCTTAAATTTTTGTGTCTCTGAAACTCTGAAAAACAGAACTAGAGAGCTGAACTTTTAATATATAATGATAAATAAATATTAATTCACTTACGCACTGACAAGGAGCTTTCCAGAAAGGTGTAGCATGCCAAGATCAGATAATGATCAAAATGAACAATGTACATAAATAATTATATGAACAAATTAAATTGAACAGTAGTTGACATTCAGCATACAGTTTATTAAACGAATAAGAAATTGTAAGAAAAAAAACAGGTAAAAAAGGGTTACGCACTGCTCCTACTCTGGCTTGCCCTTCATCTCCTCGAGGTGATGATTTTGCCCTTGATGAACATCAGCCTCTCAGTGCTGCGTCAACCAATGCTGCGTCTCAATGCTGCGTCACGTCTTGTGCTAGTACAATATGTAGTAGTCCGACAAGACGTGATTGATTGATGTACATATGTTGACGTAGTCAGCCATCAGTGTGGCACACGGCTAACAATACTCAGCATAAAATATTAACACCTGAATTTTCAATCAGAAGAGATTTTTTAACATTTTTATCGGACTGCCAGCTAGCGGAACTAAATTTAGCGGAGCGGAAGCTAATTGGTCCGCTAATGGTTTTGAAAGGTAGCTGAAAAGCTAATCCGATATGGAAAAAGTTAACTTCACTAATTAGCGGTTAGCGGATTAGCGGAAGTGTGCTTACTAATAATAATTATAACAATAATAACAATGACAATAATAATAAAAAAGAAGAAGAATAAACCGTAATACTAATAATAATATAACGGAATTAATAGGTTAACATCAACAACTGGGCAGTGGGCGCAGGCTCTGCGGGTTGTGCGCTGGCTGCGCGCTTGTCAGAGGTGCGCTCGTGGCAAGTGCTGCTGCTCGAGGCCGGTGGGCAACCGCCTGCCGTCAGCAAGGTGAGAAGCTCTGGCGAACAGCCTTGTCATGCAAAGGCGGCTTCTTTATAGCCGTTATATCTGAGATCATCCGCCGTATGACATCATGTACGATGTACGCAGTCGCACGTATGTCATTGGCTGCAATTATAACCAGTCCGACGACTGTTAGGAAATGGTAATCAAAACTGTGATCATAGTGCCCCAGATTAAGTGGTGTTATTTCAACAAGTCTGTATTGGTTTTGCATAAACATTAGGGCTTTTACAACTTTTGAATTTCGTTGCTCTTTCTTCAAATATATATTGGGATATTGAATTATATTCATTTATAGCGGATCAATTGGTTCGAAACCGCTACAATTTAAGAACTTAGAACGGGGATTATAACACGAATTTGCCGAGGATAGTGTTCAAAGTGTATTTGGTTAAGTATGGAGGTTGCACCTGTAGAATGAACGAACGGCTATAATACTAATTGCATAATACATATTGAGATGAATAAATGAAGTACATTATATAAGTAAATATTACAACTTAGATAATATAACTGGAGCTATTTAATGTCTTACCCCAAACATTGGCGAACCAGGCTGTTATGATACTACGGATAACTGAATCGACGAAGAAACAAAATGTCAATCTATAAGTAGCTCGGATGCTTTGCGAAAAAGATAAATATTCTAGAAAATTAATAAAACTGATAACAGAGATAAATAGTGTCCCTACACATTCTTCTACCAAAAAAATTGGCCTAAATTCCCTTAAAAATCTTATTGTGGTCAATTTTGTTAATCAGGCTGTTCATTAAGGCCCGTTTACACTAGTGGCAACGATATGCGCTTTGAGTCGTTTGCTGCAGTGCCTCACCGCGCACAACCGTTCACACTACATTTGTACTATTTAGTTTGAGACCGCGCGCTTTGAACACCAGTTGCCACCTAGACGTCAATGAGCATGGATGTTACCAAATTTGAGCTGTGGGCCATTGTTCTCGGGTGTGCTGTGGTCCGTCATTCTTCGCCGTAAACGAGAATTTAGCATAGGCATAATAATTTGAGAACTAGCACATTCAAAAATATACTGTTTATAAAAAATAGTCTATTCTTAAATAAAAAGTTCCAATATTCGTACCGATATTATATCATCCTTTGAAATCGCTAAACGGTAATGCATAAATTGTCAGGAGTTGCTAAAATCACATAAACTAAACACGTCATGTAGAAATAACTTACATCATTTGCATTTCGATTTTTGTACTCCTTTGACCGAACATTCCATAGGCATTCGTGTTCTCTATCAAGATCAATTAGGCGCTCTACTAGAGAGTGACTCCAAACGAGAGTGGTGTTTTTAGTCGACATTTGGTGTGCCGGACCAGCGTACTCAATCAACCTTACTACTACTAGACCACAGACAGCTATCTACTAACCAAGAATTTAAAAGCAAAGAATAGTCCACAATTGCATGAGGCATGGCCCCTGTCAATCGCTAGCTCGTCAATCGGTCAAGAAGCGCATGCAGAGGCTGCAAAGCGCCTCTGCATGCGCTTTGAGGCACTTGATTCTCGTGTGTTGCCCCTAGTGTAAACGGGCCTTTAGAGCCAATATTAAAGAAGATATAAGATATATCAGTATTATTGGACTGCATTCCGACTCTGCAGTTGCAGCAAGGACCTTGCCAACGCAATTCACGATGACATCTCAAAAATTAATGTGTGTTCAATTAACGAGAATGTACATTTTTTATGAGCAATTTCCCTCTTACATTCAATATTGCAATACTTTAATTGTACATTGATTCATTTAATCAGGTGTATGGACTTTAATACTTTCTAGATGACTTTCCACTGCGTTCATACCTGACGCTTATCAGGTTAGATTTAATATGGTATTTTTAATATTTTTGCATAGATTGTGATATAGTATTACGGGGAGCGTCTGGGTCCAAAATCGACTATTTGGCTTTTCCGGTTTTTAGTCTCATCTTAAAGCTGACATTCTGACCTATCCAACGGTACCAAAACCATCTCTTTACGTTGGTTTATGCGTTCACGACAGATCGCGAAAGGGTTAAGGATGGTGGAGTTCTTTAACATTTAACATAGGCAATAATGCCCGGCAGTGCAGTTAAATAGCCAGTCTGAACACGCTCTGCTTCAGTAACCCGGCTGCAGTCGTGCGGGATGGTTCTCGTGCAGTCGTTCGAACCATCCTTGACAGAAATTGAGCTCCAGTATCGCTTAGTCTTGCAGCCTTGAATGCCTATGTCGAGGCGCGCGGGACTTTGTCGCGCTCTACTGAACATTCACACTTATTGTCACTGCAAACCTATCTCCTCCTAGAGTTTTCAAGCTACAGCAATGAGATAAATCGTTCGATTTGCAAATAAATGATCTTGTGATTGGTCGTAGCTTTTTCCCAATTTCGTTACAGTTTTGAAAATATTTTGAAAGGAGGGGGGAAATGGATGAAATCGAAAAACGTTCGAAGATGTTACAAAAAACGCCCCTCCACCCACAAAAAATCTAATTAAAAAAAACTACGGCGAATCGACAGATATGGTCTTTAGGCATCGAATGATATGTCTCGATGTTGTAGCTAGAAAATCCTAGGAGGAGATAGTTTTCTAAGGTACCCCCTTTTTGGCCGTTGTCTAAGAATTTCACGTTTTCATATTTTTTTTCAGAAAGTTAATATGAATAAAAGCCGTCTAATTTTCTGTTTTACATGTGTGTACCAAGTTTCAAAGTGATCCGTCTGTAAATAACCGAGGTAGTTTTTTACCCAGACGCTCCCCGGACCTGACCATTACCTATATCACACCAATGGCCTTGTCAACGATGAACGATATAACGTTAATTTATATATTTTAGGTATTAATATTGGGGTAATTTTCCAACAGATTCCACTTTTCAGCTTCCACTCATACAGCCGTATGAGTATCTACAACTACTACTTCATGACGACCAGTCAGAAGAATGCACTTTACGCCTACGAAAATAACGTGCGTATGTACTGTAAAGGATGAATTTCTTTCCAGAAAAAATCGGTTTAGATTCAAATTCTGATACACAAGAGATATGCTGGCGAATTCAATTGGAGAATATATACCTATTGATAGAAATCAGGGTAATTAAAGCAATAAAAATGTATTTTCAAAATTTAAACAGCAACAGACATTCATATATCATCGAAAATTGAACAACATTCCTAAAGTGTCAATTTCCTTCAATTTTATGGCCTCAATGCCAAATTTACGTTCTCTATATAACTACATTTTATTCATCTGTCTGGGAAACCATGCGGGGTCATTTTCTGCGTTTAATTTTTATTTACATATATTTATTTTTATTAGCAGAACTCTACTTGGAACAATGAAAGCATAAAACATTCTTCAAACTCCTTTTCTTTTTATAATCGATTAGTTGAAAATAACGGAGAAACTTCTTAAATATTTCTAACATTATTGATGCCATCACGGGCAGAAACTTGTTGCAAATTCGGGAAAAGTCGTTGGAGGCTCGAGCGTGGTGAACTACATGCTGTATTATCGCGGCAACCGCCGTGACTACGACCGCTGGGCGGCCCTCGGTAACACTGGCTGGGACTACGATACTGTCCTGCCATACTTCAAGAAAGCCGAGAACTATGAAGGAAAACTCTCTGCTGAAGACTGTGAGTTTATTTTCCGCATATTTATCCTCAGATAACTCTACGTATAGTTAAATGAATGTTGTAGTAAGCCAGTGTGCAGAGTACATTATATGGCACGCTCGGCAGCTTCTGGCTCTGAAATGAGGTAGATTTGCCACAAATGGTAAAACAGCAGATTTTTCTTCGTGTTTCGTTCTAATTTGCGGAACAGAATTCTCCTTTAGCTAATGAACATAGTAGGTCACAAATATTTCAAATCACCTCTAACGCGCGATGGGAATGGCGGTTCTAAAAAGAACACAAATTTCTATTTGGTTCGCGCACATTTGCGTAAATCTCGATGAAATTACCACTAAACATCTTCTCTAGCTTAAGCGAGTAAGACTATTCAAGTTGCACTCAAATATTTTCAAAATTTATGTTATCCTGAATTATCCAGAAAGCAACATAGTGATCTGTCAGTAAATTTTTTGTGCGCAATAATCCTGCATCCTTATATAGAAATTTCGTACATCACGGTACATGCTGCACTCTAATTAGTATTAGACAATTTAAAATATTCATTATTTGATTGAATTTGACCGCATTTAACTTTTCAGTGCCGTATCATGGTTTGGGAGGACCACTCTCGGTCTCCAACTCGAATTGGTTCGATCTTTCCAAGTATGTCTTCGCGGCGGCCAAGGAAATGGGTTTTGAAAAAATTGACCCCAACGCTAAAAAGAGAATCGGTGAGTATTGTGCGAAAAATTCATCGCAATAAACCTATTGCACTTTATTGGTAATTTTTGTGTGATTTTACTTTTGCACCGATAAATAGAGTAATCTTTGGATGCCCTCAATGTATTCGAATTATAAATGAAATTTCTTATTTCGTATTTTGGTACGAATTCGTTATTTTAGTGCAAATTTATTTCACTGAAAGTTTTAACTTTAGGGAAAGTTTACGGTTTTTTTATTAATGCTACTAGATGGAATATTCATGGAAATTCAAATTAGAGTCTCAATGAAAAGCAGGTCATGTTTTCATTTAGGTTATTTCCTGCCGGATTATACTACAAAGAAAGGTGAACGCCATTCAGCAGCAGAAGCCTATCTCAAGCCCACCCTGAGCAGACCAAATCTCTCCCTGCAGACCGATTCGCAAGTTATAAGGGTACAAACTGGCCGATAACTTCCTTGTCGGAATAGGTCTGATCAAGACTCTAAGTTCTTAGTAGTAATCGTGTATATATAAAAGCCAAATTGGCGTAAGATAAATAAGGAAAGGGGGCATAAGTATCTAAACAGAACATTACAATTGACTGAAATATATGTAGAAGTACTCATCTTTCGATCTGTTTTGTCAAACCAAAATAGAACAAACTGGTGGAGGGAATCGATGCTATCAGAGCATGGTTTTTAAATGGGTCATCACAATATTAGCTATCATGCCAAATAAATGGAAATGGTAACCTAAATACAAAGCGCTTCAATATGTGCCTTTCAAAAGCACTAAGTAATCAAGAAAAATGTATATACGTGAATTAGTCTCTGATCATTGAGGCCAACTTATTAAATTCCTGCTTGCAGAATAAATTCGTTGTATTGAAGCAAGGAAGTTGAAACAATAATAATAATCTGTAAAGTCCATCGTTCGGAAGTAATTTTAACAAAGAAAAATCAATGTGACAATCATCATGTAAAAGATGCGGTTAATTTACACGGAAAATGTCTTCATGTAGACCAATGACGAATTAGCACAACCTTAATAGATATATTCAAATTTATATATGTACATCGTCGTTCGAAAAGTCTTATCCTACCGAGTTTAGGAAACACAATTTGAAAGCTTTGCATGACTGAGTTTCCCTTTATTTTCAGATTCTGTTTAACAACAAAAACAGAGCTATAGGAGTTCGCTACATGCAAGGAGGTCGGGTAAGTCAACGAGTTCTCAATTTAAATTCAATTATAGAATCGCAGAATCCGAATCAAATTATTTTGGTACATGCCTCGGGGCCACTTTAGATCAGTTTAAGTAATAAACCCTGCAAATTATTCATCGACATTCATAGACATTTATGATTTATTTTCATTTTTTAGGTACATCATTCCCAATCGTCCCACTTCAATTTTCAATCCCCCTCTTCTCCAATTTATTTTCAAAAAAAAAAAATTTTGAAAATATCTAAATCGGGGTAATTTTTGCAATATTGATTGACCTTGATGTAAAATATTTTCATTATATAATAATAATTTACTTGTATCATAATTAATTTCTATTAATTATTGTTCAATTATTCATTTATTAATTGCATTTATTAAATAAACTGTGCAGGTTAAACAAGCGTTCGCCCGTAAAGAAGTGATCATCAGTGCTGGTGTCATCAACAGCCCCAAGCTGCTCATGCTCTCCGGCATTGGGCCCAAGGAACACCTCAGATCAGTTGGGGTAAGTTACAAATCATGGGACGCCTGTCGGAGACCACCACTGCTGAGCTTCGAAAGGACTATCATGATCCCTTCCCTCGTGAACGTAGCCTATAACACTTCTTGACTGTAACATTATCAGCCACAAGCCACCAAACAGATCACATCCATTGAATTAGATTTTACTAGAGGGCTGTTTAAGAAGTGTGAATTGAGATTTATAAGTGATAACAACCGTCCCTCTTCCTACTGATAGTAGTAAATATGCATTAAGTAGGCTTGAGTAAGAATCTGAAGATTTAGTATCTATATTGATGAGATGAAGAATGACGGCCCGACCAACACCTACGGGCGGTTGGTCATTAGAATACAAACATGACATGAACATATTAGAGTAACAATATCAAAAGAATACAAACACAATTCAGTTATTACAGTTACCTGAAATATTCTATTGCATTAAAAGAATTGAATTCTATTGAGTATTGAAGAACTTAGCAGCTTACCCCTTAGCTGACGTTTACCCCACGGCCTCGTCTAGAAAATGGCTCTAGGCTACCCAATGCGTAATTGGCAAATGGTTCTTCACTTGCGTTCTTATGAAATTTCACAATATTTTCTGGTACGATTTAACATGAAATAATTTCGACATTTACTAAACTTCATCATTCAGTAATTACACGAGTGTTATTCGTGCTCAAAATTTGGTGATTAACTGACTGTATATTTTTATAATGGTTTTATAATGAAATTGATGAAATCCGAAATAAGTAATCGAGATCAAGATGATTAAGTAAGATATTGTTACAGGGCTCGATAATCACGAGTTTGAAGGTTGAATAAAATTAACTATGAAATTCAAGAGAAATACTAGTGAGAGTCACTACAGGACTTCCCCGGCGAGAACGGAGTTCCTAAGATGATATTGAGATACAATGACAATCTTAAAAGTAATGCAAATCGAGAAAATCAATATCATTCATCCCGGTACTGAATTAGCTGAGACTTATTGTAGCCTGTGCAGTAGCAATACATATAGGATCGATAGCGTTTGCGTCAATAGGCAATCATGACATAAAACGAGATGTTTTATGTCATGATTATGACTTAATCTTCAAATACCGCCACAAATTTTCAATCGGATTTAAGTCCGGCGACTGGTTTCGCCATTCCCTAACGTGTACATTTCTATCAGCGAACCATTTCTTTGTGGATCTTGCAGTATGCTTAGGATCGTTATCCTGCTGGAAAATCCAATCACCAGGTAGCTCTAGTTTCTCAACAGAAGTCGTCAAATTATTTTCCAGGATGCTCTGGTAGTTTGCAGCATTCATCCTACCATCTATAAGTGATATGTTACCAACACCTTTTGCGGAGAAACAGCCCCAGATCATGATGTTGCCACCACCAAACTCACTCACTCACTCACTCACTCACTCACTCACTCACTCACTCACTCACTTACACCAAACTCACTGTCTTTCCTCCACACATGGTGACGATAATTTCGACCGAAAAGCTCAATTTTTGTTTCGTCCGTCCAAAGAACCTTTTCCCAAAAAGCATAGTCTTTGTCCTTATGCTCCTTGACGAATTTCAGCCTGGCATCTCGATGTCGTTTCATTAGGAGTGGGGTCTTTCTTGGGGTGCGTGATTTTAATTCGTTTCTGTGAAGTTCATTGCTTATCGTTCGTTTGGTTACTTGAATTCCTGAGGCACTCAGGTGACTTTGCAACTCTCCTCGAGTAATCTGTGGATTTTCTTGGATTTTTCGTCCCAATAATCTAGCAGATCGTGCAGAAATCTTCCTAGGAGCACCTGATCGTCTTTGGTTTTCAACGCTGTCACGGGTCTTGAAGCGTCCAATGAACGAAGCAACTGTACTAAAAGGAACATTCAAGTGGCTAGCAATCTTCCTAGAACTTTCTCCTTCCTTCCAACGCGATAGAATTAGTTGATTCAAATTAAGAAAAGGTCCCCAACAAACATTGAGAATCTTAAGGTGGTGTGCCAAGAAGAATGGTATAAAATACCAGTCAGCATCTGCAATTCATTGGTCGAGACGTATAGAAATAGACTGGTATCTGTTGAGCTGAATAAAGGGTATTCAACCAAGTATTAAATTAAAATAATGCGGATTTATTGTTTTGTACGAATACTTTTTTCACCCGAAGAAGTTAACATGTTGCATTAATTTTTGTTGCATTGAGATTTAATTTCTATTGATGATATTTTTGAATACAATGCGCCTCTATACATAATATAAATCACTTCTCCTGTTCAATTTGTGTACTTACATACATTAAAATACGATTTTTCAAGTGTACGAATATTTATTTCCCCCCACTGTATGCTATATGAAATCTAACCCCAGATGCTGTGAGCTAAAAGTGAACGTCTGGTGGTGCACGGCAGGATTCATGCAGTTCCACAGGCGAGCTGGCCTGATTGGTCGCAGTCTGTTGTCCGCTAGTTACAGTTCGAGCTGAAGTCAGGGTGTAAAGAGATGATTCGATGCAACGTTCAGTGGTGGACGATCATTACACTCTGAGCCATTCGGTTCAGAATATGGTGGCGTAAAGATCCTAATATTTAAAGCAAGAGGTTTGTCATGGGCTGGTTAATGACGGATGGCTTAATCCGCGGCTGATCAATGGTCATCCGGAAATACGCTAGGCGTACCTGTCAGGGGCGATTGGTGCATAAATTTGGTGGTGCACGGCTGCGTCCCTTTTCGTGACAGACGGGACGGTCACAATTAATCGCGGTGTTTACCTATTACCCCTTAAAATAGCTTTCAATATAAAATTTAATGAACTATTCCTCAAAATCATACAAATAACAACTTGATCTGTAAATCATTTATCGGAGTTATTTGACAACATATTTGCTTTGAATAATGTCTATATATGTACGCTGTATAACTCTTTGGTGACAGATAAAACCTCGGGTTGACGTGCCAGGTGTGGGTAAAAATTTCCAGGACCACATGACCCTGCACGGACTCAACTGGCTGATTAAGATGGGACCAAACGAGGTCTCTGCAACGTCCTTAAGCACCATACTAAGCCCGCAAACCTTTAAGGACTACAAGGAGAAGAGGACCGGTAAGTTCACTTTCAATCGTATATTACGTCTATTTCTTCTTTCGGATTCGGGTCTAAGGTCGATGGATAGCCCTCTACGAATAAATTTCCTTCAAGAGCTATACAACTTGTCTACAATTTATCGCTATAGTTTTTGAAATAATTACACGCACTCCACGGTACTTTATTCGTGCACCTGACACAGAGATGAACCTCCGATATGGGCCTCCTGGGGGTATCTAGAACATTCGACAGAATAATAATACCCTCAACTAGAAATCCAACTCAACCATCACCGTATCAATGAGATAAACATTCAACTACTCGTCTATCGTAAGTTGAGGCTCATCAAATTGCAGGGCGCGACGTATGAGAAAAATTCTAAAATATCGCTCAGACGACCGACCACAGCTAACGACGACGATATTTTCATAGCCAACGAATATCACGAGAACCGACCATAGCCAACGACTAAAATATTGACCTAACAATTGAGGTCCTACATCTACGTACTTATCACGCTTGTCATCATCATCAATGCATTCGTAGGAAATTAAAATTTCAATTCAAAAATATTAATTATATTACTGACCGATTTCCTGTCAACTTTTACACCATCTATCAAAAATCAATCCCTAGCACCCACAAGCAACCAAATTAAGCACCAAGTGCCTTAGTCTTAGTGCATTTCATCCTGTGATTTCAGGTGTTCTTGATCCATTCTTGTCTCTAATCGGCTTTCCTAGTTTTAAAGTTTTCCAAGTTGCACTGCACGATCACGTACACAAAACTAGATAAATGCAAACATAATGATTCTGTGGTGTTTGAAAGTCATAATATTCGAAAATTCTAGATTTCTTTAACCCAATTTCTTGCCTAAAAACCCATCTAATTTCGTCTCAATGTTCTTTAACCATTTGTTTTTTAGCCTTAGGACTAAGAAGTTTTCGTCTTGCAACTCCATAAAATTTCTCGTCTGAAAATTACCATGAGCTTATTGGCCAATAGTAGCTAGCAAAAGGAGCCTATCGTCACACTTTCCATAAACAGCTTAAATCATAGGTTACCACAATCATTTACCCCGAATCTTACCCAACAAAATTAACCAATTATCCCTTAGTAAAACCTCATACAATATCATTTCAAATCTTACCCAACAAAATTAACCAATT